GAATAACAAAAAGGGTTGTTTTGACTCGCAAACTACGATGACAGTTAATCCTTAAGTAGACAGGAAGAAAGAAGAAAGATGTAAATGATCAAATACGGGAAGAGAGGTTGGAAGAACAAATGCAAAAACGGGGAGAGGAAGGTGGATTAGAGAGGTAGGGAGGAGAGCCATGGGATATAAAGAGAATTATAAGTCGAGGGTAGGAAGGAGAGGAGTGAAGTCAAGGAAGAAGATACAGGGCAGGTCGAGCCCGGGAAAATAGAGAAGATAGCAAATTTCGCTAATTATTGCGTTGCGATACCACCACTTAAATTGAAGCCTGGTTAGATGTACACATTATCATACCGCTCGTAGTTAACAGAATTTAGACATATGTGCACGAATTTGGGTTGTGCTGAATACATGTACATTGGTACATATTTTATTAATGGTAGACAAATCAAATTTACGCTTGGCAATCGTTACGAGTTAACCCAAGTCAAGCTCTATCAGCTTGTAGAGCAAATACTCAAAATAATTTACCTTCTTTGCTCACAATAAGATGCTGTTGATATTGCATGTAAACTTACTTGAGTAAAATAGGATTGCTTGACGCTGGTCGTCCACCACAAGGTGCCTTCACCAGAGCACAATCAGGATTACCTACAAGTATTATAATGATATTAAAGTTTCATCTTTCAATATTATCGATGGACTGAAATCACAATATCAATGTTGCAAGGATTGAAATACAGTTATTGATCAATGATAAAGAAAGAATAACAAAAGTTTTATCTTTGATTAAAGATGGACTGAGGACTGAAATCAGAATGTCAATATCAGAGTTCTGTTTGAGATTATCTTGTAATATAGTTAATGACAAGACAACCACGTAATCAGCCTCACCAACATTTAAGACTGTTTTATTATGGTATGGAAATTACTGCAATACCTCCCCAGTTCGTTTTATTTAACAGTATCAATGAATAGATTTTTTCGTGAGACATTTATTCTTAAAAGTGGTGCAAGAAACTGTTATTCCTATAAGTTCAAAATATGATCCAGATCCAGTTAGAAAATTAATGTAAATGATTTTAACCTGCTTTGTTGAATCCCTGGAAAGATCCTCTCTGTGGGGGACTCATCATACACAGATGACCAGCAGCAATGGCAGCCAGACCGACAAGGATGGTAGCTTTCAAGGCAATCATATTATCGATGGATTGAAATCACAATGACAATGTTAGAAATATGTCCAAGTTGATATCGTGATCTGTTGTCTTATCATAAATTGTCCTACAAATCTCTGGTCAGTTAAATTCAATCTATAGATAAGTAAAATACACCTGATACCTGGTTACTTAAAGGGACCGATGCGCCATTTTGGGGGTTGATTTTAGTACTGAATATATGTAAATAGTCTTCAGAAGTACCAGAAATGTAAGAAAATCGCATAAATCCTTTAAAATACTTCAAACTGGGATTTTTACTGATTGGTTTAGCTAAAACAAAGTCCCGTTTCTCAAACTAAAGTATGATTGGTCCAAAAAAATGGCGCATCTGTCCCTTTAAGCGACTTTTAGTATATTTACAAGTTGAATTTCAGAATTAAAGTAAGAAATCATATGCTGCCTATGTAAGTTCGAAAATGGTCACTTAGTGATATTTCAACATTGCTTTGAGGTCAATAGTTTGGAAATAAACAGAACTGAGACTTTAAACTAAATAATCTGGGAGGTATCCTAATGTCCACGAGCCATTGGTCAGTTTTAACAGAAGTATTTGAAGTATTTGTTCAATTGGTAGTAAATGATAACCCAAGTTTAATTAATAAGTTTAATAAATACTAAATATAATATGATTGTCACGTATACATTAAGCATCTTCTTGTTCGCCTTCTTCTTCATCAAATTCTCCCTCTTCTTCAGCTGTAGCATCCTGGTACTGTTGATATTCAGATACCAGATCATTCATGTTGGATTCAGCTTCAGTAAATTCCATCTCATCCATACCTTCACCAGTATACCAATGGAGGAAAGCCTTTCTTCTGAACATAGCTGTAAATTGTTCTGATATTCTCTTAAACAGTTCCTGGATAGCGGTGGTGTTACCAATAAATGTTCCTGACATCTTCAGACCTCTTGGGGGAATATCGCAGACAGCAGTTTTTACATTGTTGGGAATCCATTCAACAAAGTAGCTGCTGTTCTTATTCTGCACGTTCAACAGCTGTTCATCTACCTCTTTCATGGACATACGACCTCTGAACATTGCAGCTACTGTAAGATAACGACCATGACGAGGATCACAGGCAGCCATCATGTTCTTGGCATCGAACATCTGTTGAGTGAGTTCAGGAACAGTCAAAGCTCGGTATTGTTGAGATCCTCTTGATGTAAGAGGGGCAAAACCAGGCATAAAGAAATGGAGACGTGGGAACGGTACCATGTTGACAGCCAACTTCCTCAAGTCTGAGTTGAGTTGACCAGGGAATCGAAGACAGGTGGTCACTCCAGACATGGTGGCTGATACAAGATGGTTAAGGTCACCGTAAGTAGGTGTTGTCAGTTTGAGAGTACGGAAGCAGATATCATACAAAGCTTCGTTATCAATACAGTAAGTCTCGTCTGTATTTTCTACCAGTTGATGAACTGAGAGGGTGGCATTGTAAGGCTCGACCACGGTATCAGATACCTGAAAATACAAATACATGAAGTTCGTAATCATTATGAATATAAATGTTTAGGTATCAAACACCAAGGTCCAGACAGTTTAAAAACATATAAAATTAGTTTACATTTTTACATGGTAAACATGTAACATTTAAAAAACAGCAGTGGCAGCAAAATATAACACAACGTACCTTTGGAGAAGGACAGACAGAAAAGGTGTTCATAATCCTATCTGGATATTCTTCACGGATTTTACTGATGAGGAGAGTTCCCATGCCAGATCCAGTTCCACCACCCAGAGAATGGGTCAACTGGAATCCTTGGAGGCAGTCACAGCTTTCAGCTTCCTTTCGGACAACATCAAGGACGGAATCTACCAATTCAGCTCCCTCGGTGTAATGACCTTTAGCCCAGTTATTACCGGCACCAGATTGTCCAAAGACAAAGTTATCTGGTCTGAAGATTTGACCAAATGGTCCTGATCTTACAGAATCCATAGTACCAGGTTCCAAGTCGACGAGAACGGCTCTTGGTACATATTTACCACCGGTAGCTTCATTATAATAAACGTTGATTCTCTCCAACTGAAGATCAGAATCACCGTGGTAAGTTCCAGTAGGGTCAATACCATGTTCATCAGAGATCACTTCCCAAAACTGAAAAATAATAGTACAATTTATTGAATATCCTCGCAATAGAAAATTAAAAATAGTTCAAAAGCGTGCATGTATGTTTATATCGTGTAAAACAAAATGTCTATGTTTGCGATTACTTATGTTACTAAATAATGTAGTCTTGATGGTACACAAAAACCAATGGATATTGGGCTATCGCAATCACGTGAGTTGTATATTTATTGACCAAATAATGAAAATACTTATGTATTTACTGAATAAAAAATGAAAATCTAACCTTAGCACCAATCTGGTTACCGCATTGGCCAGTTTGCATATGAACGATTTCTCTCATTTTGGTTTATAAACAGTATCTGTTGCTTGAAAGACACTGGGCTGGTGTTTACGACTGTATGACTTATTCAGAAAATTCGTGTCATTTATATCATAACAGAAAAGCAGTAACTATAGATACATTTGAAATGTTTATAGCAAACCAACATAGATTAACGACAATACAATTAACAGTTTATAGTACCAATAACGCATTAATGGGATAATCGGGCTACAATCTTAATCTCGGATGATTTGTAATAAGGTTTGGCTAGTTAATCATTTCCAATACGGACTAATGCAGAAACTTCTAGCAAAGACTAGATTGTTTTGTAAAATGCCGTAGTCTGAGTCATTTGAGACGGGTGCACATAAAAGTAATTTGCTGGGTGTGGCACCAAGTAAGTTATGCTTACTCTTATAGACACCTGATACCACTTTTCATTATAAAATACTTACTCACTTATGATTGATATACTTCCTCATCTCATGACAAGGTCATTAGCTGCAACCACTGTTTCGCCAATATGTGACTTTGGATTTCGGGTTTTGTAAGGTCGTTATTTTTTTTATACAAACACGTTGACAGTGTTGGGGTGATTTGCACGAACTTTAAGTGGAGGGTTGTGTTTTACTTACTCAAGGAAATAACTCAGGTCTATATTTCGTTCCATCTCCTCATTAGTTTAAGTTACTAAAGCATTTTCATCAAAACCAAATGAATAGTGTCAAAGACAAACAACGCAGATATTTTCACTCAAGCGTATGGAACAGAACACGACATACTGTAGCTCTGATTCAAAACAATATTAAATTTTTCAATAGCTGTAATTTGATTTGAATGCCTTTTTGTATTTGGAACCAAATCACAATTAATTAGTGCTATTGTTTTCATTTCCTACATTTCACAATGACACTATTTACAGGAGATTACTTCATCACTCATTCCACAAATAAATTATCATTCTTTGTAACAAATAAAACACTGAATACTATTGACTATGTAGACTGTCAATACTCGTTTAATCATAAAAATTAATAAACCAATTTCAAATAAAATCAAATTCTAGATCTAACAATGTAAATACATACAACAATCTTTAATTTACGTTACGATATCTTTTTGCCATGAATTATTTCATTTCATAAGCCGACATTTAAAGTATCATATTATTTGTTTAATTGAGTAATTAAAAATACAACAAAATAACCTGAAACATGTTGTTGCCCAGATTTTGAATAATTATGCTATACCAATACAAAAAAACTATCTATAAAGGCGCAAATAGACGAGATGCAGTGTACATAGTAACATTAATAATTATTTATATATTTAACATACGGCAGCCGAACCGAGTAGAACCTGACGTACCGGTACCAGACTATAGACTTGCAGCAAGGCTTAATGTAAAATGTTTGAAATTATGGTGTTCCTTGAAGTCATGATGGTGGGTGAATCGGCTGGTACAGATTTTCTACATTTCTTTTTCCATTTGTTCCACACTGATTTATTTAAAACAAACGACCAAAGTAAAAAGACCCCCTGTGACCCATTCAAAATGACAGATATATAGTCCAAAACAATAGAATCAACAAAGTTAGACATTAAAGATATTGTCCAAAATACCCCCGTAACCACTGATAGTTTTAAATATATATATACATTATTTCTTTCTCCGGATTGTTTACCAACTTGTTTCACACGATGGATGGTAATAACAGTCCAAACAAAGGAAGTAACATTACTGACAATAACAAAACATAATGGAATAACAAATGCATACAGAGCTAATAATTTACTTGATAAATAACAAATATCACCGCCATATCCAAGATGGCTTCCAGACGTGGCGATAACATTAGCTACAATAGTTGTTGTCATTATCAGAATCGGCGTACCATAACCATATATAGAATAGATTATACTTTGTTTGAGAATTCTGTTTGATGAGTGAATGACAAATTTACTAAAAACAAAAACTTTGAGCATGTGATAAGAACAGATATTCATCCAAAATAGCATACTAAGCCATAGGAAATGAGTAGTCATGCCTAAAACCTTACATAATGTTACTTGGTTAGTTTTATCAAAACCAACCATTAATACGAGTTGTGCAAGGAACAGGTTGCAGGAAAGGGTCAGATTGTTTATTCCTGGTTGTGTTCTCATTTCGCCAAATACAAGATAAGTTATAATAACAAGTACGAGTGAGATCATAGAGAGTGAAATACAAACAATAGTTACATACCATAATATTACATCAAAACTACCAGATTCATTTGAAATGTAATAAGTTCCATTTGTTCGTGACAAATTTGTCTTCAATAGAAACAACTCGAAACATACCGAAAGTTTATTTTTGAAGACTGAAAACTCGCCATTCGTTTGACTTAGTGATAAATTTAAATGGGGTACGACAGCATCTCCCTGAACTGTAAATTCTGATTGATCAAATTCTATATACGAACACGACAGTTGATTAGATACTGGTTCATATTCAGATTTATATGAAACCTGTAACTTTTCTTCTACTCTACAACATAAACCAGTCTCTTGATCCGATTTCAGGAATTTATTTGTTTCTTCCAAATACTGCAGTTCATGGAGAATAACTTTGAATAATATCTTCAACTCCGAAAATTGCCAAAATAAGCTTTTATTCAATTTTACCAATATTTCTTCCAAGTCATCTATTAGGATGTCTTGGTTGATTTCTAGCCATATATGGGAATACAGTAAAGAATGGGTAGATTTAGATATCTGGACTGATTCTGATTCTGATGTTTCACGTTGTAAAATAAATTGTGCATTAGATGTTATATGTATTTTGTATTAGAGGTTTCTTGTATAAGTTATTTTGTATCAGAGGTTTCTTGTATTTTATCATTTGCATTAGACGTTTTAGGTATTTGTTATTGCATTATATTACATTTGTGTTTTGAATTAGATATTTCTGCATAGCATTAGGTTTTTGCCGCTTTCCCCACGCCATAGTGATTAAGAGTTTGTTGTTGCAGAGAAGTAAAGAATTAAAATTTGAAATACTTACTGCATACATATCCATCCAAGCAGTTTGACCGTCACACGGCGTTACAGCTTCATTGAATGTATCTGAGAAATCGAACAAACTTGTAAACGGATTCCTAGCTTTACTGAGAATGGCTTCTTCTTTACGAACATTACACCTATAACAAAAATAGTTTCTGTAAACCCCACCATCCTCTCCATATACTAAACTAAAATACTTCTCACACAGGCTGGTCAACTCTTCCATCATTCTGCAAGTTGAAATTATTTCAAAAGATCTGAGAATGTCACACAACCGTAATTCTACAAACACTGGTGGTACATGGTAATATATACATGACGGATTGGATATCACATTCGTACATTCCGATTCTATAGTCCAATGAGTACAGTCTATAGCCTTGTTCATTAAGGCACATTCCATATTTACATACGATATACCATCAGCGCAAGAAACGGGTAAAAATCGAAAGTCACACAATTCCTTGACAGTTCCAGACTTGAAGTAATAATTTCTCATATAATACCCGTTCTTGTTTGTGTTAACATGACGTAGTCCAATATCATCAGTAGCGTTAGGGGCAACACAGTTCACACCCGGATCAATTTGTTTAGTATGTAAATTATTGTCTATCAATATATCTATACAGCAATCTCCATATTCCATACAGTCCAAATCACAATAACATTCTACACATGATGGTGTTATCAACACTGGTTTTTGTTTCCGATTCATGAGAACATGTAAATTTGAATCAGAATCAGGAAGATTGTCATTACATAATACTGAAGCAGAACTTAAAATAATAGCTGCTACAAATAGTTTAAGAAACATGGTTTCTTTTACACAAATAATAATATTCATGTCGACTGTGCAAAAGGATTCATTCAGATTAGATTGCAATAATTTCACTGCTGATCTTAAATCTTCTGCATTGAAACACAATAAATAGATTGTATTATTCAGTTCTTGCCGCTCTATCGTCACTGTTTGGAAATCAGGGAACTGTTTCGCGAAAACCTCCAGTGGGCGAACAGCTGCAGTAAAATATAATAGTAGATATCTTTTTATATTCTTTTCAAGTCGACACGAGGACAACTTATTTGCATATTGTAAATCGATTGGAGATATCAGTCTATATTACTCCCTAATGGAACAACACGACACAAAAATTGTAATTATCTCGCATTAAATAATGGCCAAACTCAGTAAAATTAGATGTCATCAAAACAACTCACTAATTTAAACGAGTTCAGATTATGACAACTGGACCTTCAGTCTTACAACCAATATAGAAAACCATTACTATGGAGAAAATATATCTGATGATTATAGATTATGAAACACAATTTTTACTTCAAGTAGAGTTATTTCCAATGTATACTTGTAGTTTCTAAAATTCTCATTCCTCTTTGTACACTCTGATAGTTTTTGATGATTTTGACTATTTAAAATAAACACACTTTCCTCTCAGAAAGTTCGTGTGGAAATGACACTGAAAAATTAAAAACAACCTGAAACAATCTAAGATTCTCAGTACTATATTTCATACAAAAATGGTTGCCAAAACGTGATTCAATAAACATTGTGGTCGGACAGTAAACTTATGTCAAATTTAGATTTAAAAATTTTTCTGGTGTGCCTCCTTTAATTACCTCTAAGTACAAAGTGTAAAGGCAAAAATGTCCAAAAACTCCAAAAGTTTTGGACACTTTCTAAAATAATAGACAGTAAGTGAACATACATTCTACTAGATAGTGGATAAATAAACCAAATATGACGTAAATAACTGCCCACTAATCAAATAGCCGATTCAATAGTATGACTGATTTGGTTTTTTTATGGCAAAGAAAGTATACCCTATTGACGGCCGTCGAGCACGCCAGCTTCAAATGATAGTGACAACAACAGAGAGAAATACAGACTGTAAACTTGTCAATTAGTAGACATAAAACAATTGTTATAATATCTCACATTTATAATAATAGTCCTTTCAAAAAAAAAATGTAAAACTAGAGCAATTTGCTAAAGACCCTGAAAAAATCAACCTTCGACGATAATTAGGTCCAGTGCAAGAATAATTTTCATTATTTACAAGATTCCAATATCGGAAGTAGACGCCAGATTTCACAAATGAAAGTATCAGCAGCTATAAAACCGGAAGTACATGTCGGAGGTCAAATATCAAAGTATCAACTCATAGCCAAGGTCAATGACCTGTGATCATGTAAAGGAGGAGGTCTAAAAAGGTCAAGATCAAGAGATATAAGTCATCAAAATTTCAAATTGCACACGGCTATAAAACCGGAAGTTGACATAAGATAGCAAATATAAAAGTATAAATAGATAGCCAATGCCAATGACGTTTGATCTTACAAAAGTCAAGGTCAACAAAGGTCAAGGTCAAAAATTACAAATTTTAAATTTCCAAAACCTGTTTCTTTTTTGGAACTATGAAGCTGGATCAAGTGACCTTCTAATACAAAGTGGCTTAAAACATGAGGTAATTGTATGCAAAGTTCCATTTTCAACAAATGTATCCTTTTTATGTTATGCCAAAAATCTCAATAATGAGTAATTTAACCCGGATGTGCCACGCCCATCTCATTTATTTGACATAATTTAATTGATATTCAAAATGTTATGTTGTGTACCAAATTTCAAGCTTATGCATAATACAGGTCATAAGATATAGGTCAACAAAAGTCATCAAAGGTTAAAATATGGAAATTCTAAAACCCGTTCCTTTTTTGTAACTATAAAGCTGAAACAACTGAGCTGTTCACACAAAGTTGCCAAAAGGATGAGGTAATTGTGTGCAAATACCCTTTTTGAACAAATGTATCCTTCCTCCTAAATGTAAACAATTTGAAATTCAACCCGTCTAGTTGTGTTCCAAATTTCAAGGTTCTACATCAAATAGGTCATAAGATATACATTCACCAAGCTCAAAGAGACAGAAATATTGTAAAAAAAAACTCAAATATGAAAAAAAATAACGAATTTCAATTTTACTTTATAAATACGATTGTTATATATCAAGGGAAAGAACATGAGAAGCACATTAGGAAACCGAAAAATCTAGGTTAATTAGCTCACGTGCTAGAGCAGTCCAAAGTTGCAGGTTTGGCTTTTTTTCGGACAGCTATAAAACCGGAAGTACATGTCGGAGGTCAAATGTCAAAGTATCAACTGATAGCCAAGGTCAATGACCTGACCATATAAAGGTCAAGGTCATCAAAGGTCAAGGTCGCGTGGTATGAGCGTTCGAAAAGAAAATTCAAACGGAAATTGCAAAAAAGCAAAAGCGAAAATCAAAAATCGGCTCCCACAGTTTTTTTGCGCAATCGATCGAAATTGACATATACGCACATCCAATTAAACCCTGAGGCTGAATTTCGCGTTTAAAAAAATCTGTCATATCAAAATGGCGGCCAAAGAATCACTTCCGGTCTAGATTATATTTTAAAATCGGCCATAGAATTTTACTTGCTTAAGATCAGAAAAAATTTGTTGACCTACATAAATTACATCGGAAATTATTCAACCGGAAGTAGATTTGAAATTTAGTCGCTTTCCTGTTTAATAGCGGAAATGACGTACAAAATTTGACTGTATCATATTATCAACATTAATAAAGTTTCTTTGCGTTAAAAATTTCAGATCAATCGATGCAAAAACGAAAAAGTTGCAAAAAAAATTGAAAAATTTGATCGAAAAAAGTGAGCTACGAATTTTTCAAGTGCTATCAGGTCAGAAATTACGGATAGATTGTAAAAAAGAAAACCCGAAGAAAATGCAAAAATGCGCCTGCTAAAGCCGATTGTCGACTTTTTGCACATGTTGACCTGTGGCACTTCCGGTTTTGCAAAAATGTTCCAATTTATATTCATTAACTACAGAAAGCCTACACATGTAGAAATGTTGATGCAGCTGACGAAGCCTGGACTGTGTGTCCTGTGGAAAAAGAATTGACATTTCGATAACAAACTGGGACTTTGCCCCAGAAGCAAAGTCCCACAATAAAGTGATGATTAATAAGGTCTCTAACACTATAGTCTTTGTTTTTGGGTTCTTGAACTAATAAGAGACACAGACATCAGTACAATGTTTTAATGAAGAATATAGCGTTGCACAGTGTGATGGCATGTGAGACATACATGCTTTTTTTCATGTCATATATTACATTTGTAATCAGTTCTCTCCCTTGACTATTGAAATTAAAATCAATTACGTACCTTGGACTTCGTCTGTTTATATTGTGTTTTGTACGTTCCTATTTGTAGGCAGTCTCTCTTACAGAGTTCCCTCAAGGAACAACAACTCTGAATGAGAGAATGGTCTGTAGCGTGTGTTGTTCCCATTTTTTCGCCTAAATGCTGTTTCGGTTCGGATCGTTAGTACTTGGTTTATTTGTTATTACCAACGTAATAGGCACCTCTAAACTTTACCGATTGGGTCAAAAACATCTTCATTGCAAGATCAACTCGTTAGAGACTTGAATCGTATTTTTATGATATTAATCTGGTCATATGCTGTCATGAACTTGCAGAAGTATGAGCTAATGTTGTTTATATTGTTTTTATTTATTTATATATGGCTCTTATTTCACATTTCTAAATGTTATACAACAATATTAGAGTAAAATGTTTAAATTGTAATTCATAAAGAATCGTACCTCTCCATTGAGTGATTTCCTTTGTAAATGTGAAATTTCATAATTAAAGTTAATGGTCAAATTGTATGCCATAATAAAGTCGACGTCTCCATTGAGTGGTTGACTTTGTGAAAATTAATGATTTATACGGTTAACAATTCCCATTTGTATTCTAAGTAATAAGTAATAATTAACAGTGCAACATTTACCATCTTTAATCCGTGATGGATTTATGCAATAGTGCAGATCGGATGCGTGGACATCTAAAAAGCCTAGTCTTTGGGATGAGACAATTACCCGAGAGAGTTGACTAATGTTGCACTTACCCGGAGGAAATTAACCTTTTGTACATCGCATTCTGGTGCAAAGAGGTGGGAAGTAAAAGCCTCCATTTCATTTCATTTAATATTGCGCAACTGCTTTTTCGGATATCCATTAAGTTCGTAGACATTATTCGTAAACTTACATTGACTTCCAACGTAGTTAGTTTGATCCTGTTCGACACTTTCACAAACGTATTGCGAAAAAGTTCCCTGTATGAAACTAAATGTGATGTCTATTGTGTCTTATATTAACTCATATAAATACATGTATATTATAAATAACGATGACTATATGATGGGGGGGGGGGAACAATTTCCGAATTATTAATTTACTTCGCAAAGCAACAGTTGTTCAATTGCCAGACAATGACGTGTACACGTCTCAATGAATTTGATATGCGAGAGCGTGTTTTCAAGATGTGGATTTTTCCAGTATATGTTAACTTCTAAACCAATGCTCATGCAATTTAAAATCTCAATCGGTATATTACATCATTTCAGATTTTCTCAACATGGTAATATAATCAACAGTTCTGAGGTTCTGATGACCTTCTTCAAAATATATAATTTTAGTATGTCGTGACAACATCATATCTTTATATTTTGTTCTTTTGCAGAACGCTCAAAACATACAACTGTGTTTGTGTACTTTCCAAACTCTCTTTAGTAGAATGTCAGCTTTGTTTAAAAAGCTTTTGTGAACGTTTACATATTCCAATAATATATCAAAGCCATGTGATAACGAAACAATTTATTGTAATTGCATAAAACACCCAAAGTAACTGATAAAACATGCATTTATATATTATGTTCATTAAGATCACAGTCAGAGAAACTAATCAGATGGATTCAAAATATGTTTTCGTGTCTATCTATATCTGGGCCACTATGTTTGGAAGCCTCATGTTTCGCAAATGTTATTCAAGCTTAAGTTTCAAAAAGAAACATAAACTGAATACTTGATTACAGGGACAAATGCGCCATTTTCGGGAGTTGATTTGAGTCTTGAATTGAATTTACGTAAATAGTCTTCAGAAGTACTATAAATTAAAACAAATCGCATATTTCCTTCAAAAATAGCTCAAACTAGGAATTTCACTTCTACTTCTATATAATATGTCTTTTCTATTTATGACAGAGTCTCAAAAAAAGACGACTTTGATGGCTCACATTTCGACGGCGAGCTGTGAACACTATTACGGATTGGCTTAAAAAGAATTCTCTTAATGCTATTTATTAAGAGATCATGCAAAATTTTTGATTAACTTTTTAGATGTGTATGATATTTTTTCATTGCTTTTACTGCAAGGAATCACTGTAGAATTAGTAGTCTTTCAAATTTAGCACTTCACTGATAGTTAAAGATTATTTTCTCTGTACTAAGAACGATACCATTTATTTATTCCAAACCCAGTACCTGGATTAAAGTTAAAGGCGATCTCCTCAGAAAGTGACAACGAATCGATAGATGAAGCACATGATTTACTTTCACTAGAATGTCCAGAATCAGATGAATCAATATGTAAAAACCACCCTGGCTCCCGGGAATAGTCTAAAATCTTCATTGTTGGATAGAGGTCATCCTCATCACTTGATTCATTATCAGATTCTAACCAATTGTCTTCTATTTGTTTTAAAGTTTCCTGTCGCTGAACGTTTTGAGACGATTCAGATCTTGTGTTATTTCCGAGGGGAGAATCGCCGGTATTCGCATTAGTGAAATGATTCTTGGTTTTCTTATTCAGAAAGTTTGTGGAAAGCCACTTACGACATTTTTCTGTGCTGCTCCTGGACTTAATTACAACTGAATGTGCGCGTTGTGCCGGTTTTCCTGATTTGTGCAGCGTACGCGATCTCCTCTGAACATATGATGTGTAGTTTAGATTGTTCTGACTAGCTTTGTTATCTCCCACAAGGCGGCGAGTTGAAGAAGCATTCGATTCAGTATCATCATTGAAATATCTATCACAATCCAAACCACTATCTGTAGAGACACACTGTATAACTGAATTACAAATATACACTCCACCGATATGGTACTCGCTGAATTCACAATCTTTAACAATTGGAGAACTAACATTGCAGGATGGATTCACTGTCTTGTAAACTAAATTGGAGCGACTCTTGTTTGACACCGATTGCTTTTCGGTCTGTGTCGCCGTTGGAAGTCTGGCCTCATGGGACCTTTCTTTTCCTTTGCACTTTTTCTTCAACCAACGAATCATTTTGCTTTCTAAAATACAAATGATATATGTTAAGCCAACATAAAGCAATCGGTGGGAATAGGCCTAAATTCTACTGTTAGTACTTTTAGTAAGTATTAATTCCCAGGTTGCACGTTAATGAAATTAAATCTATGCATTTGTGGTGTTACTGAATTTCATAAAAAAAAAGGGTTACAGTTAAGCTGCATCTATAATTTGACAGTACTGTTATAAGAGACTTGTTGTCCAACTTTCGCTTTGAAGAGGAATCCTGATAACATATCTTTCTGATCTAGTTTGATATTCTAAGCATAAAATCATGCAAGGTATTCAAACTGCGCACCACAGAACAGGGTCCGAAGGCTGACATCGAGGAAACGTTGGATCATTCAATATGAAACAGAATGACAAAGCCAGAATTTAATTTTTCTTGAATGTTAATGGTTATACATCTATTCATAACTCAAGGAAGATGTCATAAAATCTCAAGACTTTACCTTCTGTATGCTCACAAGGACAAGTAAAAAGTTACTGATAACTACACCAACTCCGCATTCTCTTTATATATCCTCTACGGATTATTACGACTACTTAAAGACGTTTTCATATTTAAGTGTCGTTAATTTTCTGTCAAATCTTGATGTACTGTATTTTCTATAGAGTAGGTTAGTGCTGTATTTTGATTGGAGAGTGACACTTTTGGCATGTTTTTATGTGAAGTCGACACTGATTAGTGAATGATCTTAAGCGACGACTTTGATTGGGTCTCGATCTTTAATTATAGAATTAGGCAGATTAAAATAAAATTCGGTGTTAATCCTTTCACCCAGTTATACCTGGCTAATTTAGACCACTGTTATAATACATGTCTATCAGAGTGAACACACATTATTGGATGAATAATTCTATACGGCCTGCTGATCACTTCAGTATGGGGCAGACAAGGTGTGATTAATCTGCTTTAAGACGTTACTTACTGACTGGAATTTATATACGTAATAACTAAAGGTGAGAAAATACAGCAGATTATAAGAGAAATACAGGTAATTTGAAATATTCTACTCTCAGTCAGAACAAATGATATACAGTATACATGTTGTTGGTCTAGTGGGTGATAGATAGATCCATATACTGACCGTGGGATTCATTGAATCGAAAAATTGACCAAGTACTAGCAACTAAAATCATCTGAATGGTCGCGTATTCCGGCCCCTCAGATCGAGTTTTGAACAAAAAGTACAAAACGAGAAGCTTTTCCAGTCGCCGATCCGCTCTGGTCGACTGAATCCGACAACTTTTCAGATACCTCCTGTCGTTGAAAATCCAGTTCAGAATATGCTAAGCACAATTAAGAAATGATGAAAATTAGCCTTCAACGTGTCGGAGAACAAAGGTCATTACAAAGTTTTTGACAGTTTACAAATATGGCATGGCAATTGCGGCTAGGGATAATTGCATTGTTGGTCGGTCTTTGGTTGAGTTTTTCCATAATTTTAACTCGACGGGTTAACATTGAAATATAAAGTTATTGTCAGAGAGAAAAACGATAAAATAATTGATTTGAAATTGATGGGTTGATCAATTAAAGTATAAATTGTGTGATATATACAGAATTTATACCGAATAGGTTTCAGGGAGCACTAAAATTGTTATTATGTAATTGATCACCCGAAATATGTTTTATGGTGTCAATATTTAATACTGACAGTCGGTGAAAATTCCTACGTTGTCGGATTTTCAAAGTCATTTCGCCAGAGAATGCCTGTTTCTAAAACTGGGCCTACTAGATTACATGCAGAGCTTTATTGTATATATATTTCAAATGATTTTTAGGTGCCATATGACAATGTTTATCTGATAATTGCTGAATGATAATAAGTTATCAGTTACGTCCCTTGAAGTTTGCAAATCAACCATACCAGAGCCGTATGCACTTACTTAAACATTGCTTCAACATACAACTGAATTTATTGATGTTTATAAGATAATGTCTTCTGCATTAGGGTACGCCACGGGATTTTACAGTGTTTACAGCCAATCTGACTGTAGTAAGGTTCTCTTTCTCTTTTCTTAATGCAATAACATACGACAAGTATTATATAATGTAAATTTGCAGAGTCTTGCTTAATTCTAATGGGTTTTAAGAAAATTTCTTGCTTTGGCTTTTGTCTGTAAATGGAGCGGGGGTATCATTTAGGCCATTATGTTTTTTTTAGATTTATTGTTTAAGTAGACAGTGAATCTGAATGATAAACAATAAAAGGAAGACCATTGCATTTAAACTAATTTTCATTTACATATTTATCCCATCTCAATATGTTCAGCCATTATCCCCAGACTTTTTCTGTCAGCTGTTTATTAATCAAGAATTCGAGCACCACTTTGACCTTTTTTGTGTTGTTTCGTGGGAATGTTTACAATCAGCGGGATTGATTTAGGGTAAAAATGGGAAAGGGCGATATGGGCAAGGTGCAAAACAGAAAGAGTGAAATAGGTAGATTTAGGGGCGAATTGGAAAGGTGCGAAACGGGAAAGGGGCAAAACAGAGAAAGGGTGAAATGGGAAGCATTTAGAGGCGAATGGGGAAAGGGCGAAATGGGAAGACATCAATCAGCTTATTCATGTGTTCATTATATTAAGTTGACATAAGGAAGACTGTAGAGAGACATTGACAATAAAATGCAATCATACAGCTTCAAAGTTACCCAAAGAAATAGGTTTTGAATACAACAGATAAATATTTGTGATATTATAGGATAAGGCTTTTTATTGAGGGGGTCTTGAACATCTTTTAAATTTACTTAAAAAAAACTTCTAATAAAGAGGTACATGTACATGATATTCGTATACCACTTAAATGTTTTATTCGCCTGTATAGGACGTAAAACTCCATTCATTTCATTTTATTATGCTGCCTGAACAGCAATTTGGAACGTTGAGTAAAACCTATAATAGTGGAGGACTGTCTTGTCTCGTCCACCAGCAATGTCGTTAGTATCCGAAGTGTTGATTCGAGTTTCATTGCTGTGGCAGAATTCCTTCCGAGTCAGCCTATGAACTTTTCAGAAAACCCTCGTACCCCCTGAGTGTTAATTGGTACAGGTTGGACATATTCCCCGTGTCAGTCATGAAACAGAGGCATTTTCAGTTCAGGTTCTCTCTGAATTACAGACATGGAAAAACTGAGAGAATTGGAAAGGTAAACATGTATATATATAATAAATTCAACAATTTTATTGTTAATACTTTATTTTTAGTTTATGAATTAATTTAATCAAGGACAATTCGTGGCCGAACAGTTCGTGTTTGACTGTCATACATGACTGGTACTGCTCTTGACCGGTATTTAAATCACACAACTGGTGATGATGACTTTCTATCAGGGAAGGGTCTACAGATCTGAACACTGTTAAATTGCTCTGAACACACAGATCGTATAAATCTAATTTATCTCTTTTCAAAGATTGCAAATATTCCAGATCACTTTTATAGATGGAAAATATACCGACACCAAATTCACGCCAGAATCCGATTTCAGCTCCGAACTGATCCGCTTCTATATCACAAATTGTCTTCCCAAAGCAGGCTGTATCCGAATGAAACCTACTAAATCGTATAGGAAAATACACTTGCTGTTTTAATTTTGTATTTTTAGAGACACTGAGAAGGAAATTCTCGTCAAAGTGAGAATGAATAGTTAAAAATATCAGAAGAGATGTTCCTGACGCACCATCTAACGCGGACGATAAGGCACTATTTCTTGTGCTGGAGTCGTAAACAAAAATTATCCGGAAATGGAAATGAAATTCGTTCCTAGCGTAGAGATATTCTTTAGATTTTTTATATTCATTATCATCGTCATGATAGAGTATAATTTCTAGATGAACTTTCCATTGTAATTGTTCTACAACTTCAGACACTGTGGATAAAAAACTATTAAAGACTTCCGATTGTTTAAATACTGGTAACACAATCCAGACTTCTCGCGAGGGCAACAACTCATTTGCAACTTCTCTGAATTCGATGTCATGAAAAGTCTGCAGAGTTCTATACGCTCTGTAACTTTTGTGCTGGAGTCTTTCTAAAAATACATGTTCCAAATATTCTCCATAAATTAATCGCCGGTAAAATATGTCAACAAATGCACTCGTAGATTCTTGCAAGTTTTTAATAAGCGAACGAGCACTGCTTTTTGAATGGTTTTGATATGGTAGTATTTCTCCCACTGGATTCTGATATCTAAAAGAGCTATATCCAACATCATTGATAAAGGTGTCCCAATTTTCTTTAGAAGAAGAATCATAACTAGCAATATCTTCGTCAGACTTAATCAAACTATTTATTTCGCTAAACTTTTCAAGAGTAATGTCCCTTCCTTCGTGCTTTATTCCAGTAGCCCTACCGTTTAAAACACCCGACATGTCTGTAATTTCCAGTCGTAATCTTGCCAATTTATTTCTAAGTTCTGTGATTTTCAGGGAGTCATAATGTATAGTAATTCTGTATTGATGAGGACTTTGTTTTACGGGGTGAAGAGTTATTGCCCTGTCTTCTAAACTACCCAGTTTTTTAGTAAATGATCCTTTAGAGTCATCATAATTGTGAAGAAATAGTTTCACCATCTGAAATGAAAATATGTAAACATTCATTGACAATATAAAACTATAATATAATATACAGCAATTAGTTAAGATAAGATATCTAAACATATGCATAATATGTGACCCCCACCCCAGGCTTCCTCCCGATTAAGTTTGCAAATTTGTCCTCAATTAGTCAATAACTGAGTTAAAAGATTTATGAGGTCTGTATCTTTCCGTCCCAACAGGATTTTTTCAGAAATAGTAATCACCACACCACACGGGGCATGGGTTGTATTTTATGAACGGTTGTTAAGTTGTCTCTGGCATTACTTCCTGTAGAACTTTATGTGCCAAAACTGCTTTATAACGTGATGTCTGACACAGTGCGTTTGTATGTGTGCAGCACTATAGCTATGTAGAATAAACATTACTTCGCTGCACATAACTTTTGAAGTTCAGAATATATTCTGTTTAATTCACAGAAGACGCTGTAGGAACTACATGTTATGGTGCTCTTGAGGAATCGTGATATATAACTTTTATAATTATTATCAGCATAATTATTATAATAAAAACTTACTTCATAGGACGACGAACAGCCTATTCCAACATAATACTGAACACATCTACCAAGTTCTGTATCTTCATGTAAGGTTTTGGTATTACTGATACATGTTGTTATTTTATCTTTCAATTTTTCTAGAGCACTTCTGCTGAATATAACTCCAGGTCCGCCCATACAGAAAGCACTGTTTTCAAACAATCCAAGATGACCCAGTTCAGAGCTCTTTCCAAAACCAGGGCTTCCCATATACAGTGTTTTAGAACTATTGATTGTTCTGAGGAAATGTTCAATTTTTTCAGGCTTCAAGAACAAGTCGTCATCGGCTCTCATAAACCATTCAAAATCGTTTAGAAAATGTTTAGCGACGTACTTGATCATAGCAAACACTTTAACTTGTGGCGGGAAAACATTGTCGTTCACAGATCGCAGATTTATAACCGGAAGGTCACTATTGGGAGGTTCAGAACCACCAACAAAAAATATAATATTGCCCGGAAATCGCTTGCCCCACGTACTATAGATAGCCGCGGCATGTTTATCCAAGTTTTTTCTTGTCGTCATAACAGATACTAGCAACAGAGGATCGGATGATTTGTGGAATTTACCACCTTGTGCGAATAGATTCCTGATGTTGCATTCCTCCTCAAATCGTACAAATCTGAAGTAAGTAGTCGTGTAAAATCCCGTATAAAAACAAAGCAAAAGAAGGAACAGTGTTTTAATCTTTCTTTGAAGTAAATTTCTAGTTTTTAAACACATATTGATAAACATTTTCAAATTCATTTTAATTTTATGTACATTTCAGAAATTTTTTAATTTACTCTTAAATCCTTTATCATAACAGACACTCTGAAATCACGACACATCTTATGAATAAATTGTTGGAAAGAGTAATTTTACGAGCAAATCCTTACATAAACACGCGATCCTAGCTCCACAACCACGACTGAATATAATTCGCCGCACCTACCATGTACTCAACCGAAAAAGATGAAAGTTGTCGTATCTTCACCACATCACATATGATCCAGAATCACAACTATTCTGCAGAAACAACTAAGGATCCAGTAGTATTTGTACGTGTATATTATATATAAATAAGATTGGCGTCGCCAATAGTTAGCAAATAAATATTTCACGACCAGCCTTTCTCTTTAATAATAAAACCATTAATAATAGAGAATTAGTCTCGTGAAAACACTTTTCGCTTGAACAATCTTTTAAAATCACTAGTCCATTATACATGCAATACTAGTAACGACAGTGTTATAATGATATACAATATAGAAAATTCAATTCACGAAAGGGCGAACGACAAACGGGCATTTGACGTGTTGCATCAAGAGATACTCAAGAGGCCAAGACGACATATTACATTCATTAGAGATTTGGTTTATCTTCATTCGATTTCACGTCGCTTAAAAAGTCGCGAAAACCCTGGCAACTTCGCCTTCTCCTTCTCCAAGCCCGTCCACAATAAGCGATTGAAAAAAATATGAAGCACTTTTTTTTTCAAAGTATTCTTTGATGATTCTCATATACCCATCTTGGTATTTATCGAGATTCTTTTGAGCCAGTGTTTCACGACCTTTTCCTGGTCATTATACTGGCCTGATTATGTCAAAAGAATTGCTGTAGATGTTGGCAAGTTCAAATCGCTGCAGGTGAGCAAAGGTCTTTTGACTTAAAATGCCATCTTTCAACATGTGTTTTCAGTCGATCCTGATCAGGTTATCCATGTGTCAATTTTCTCTTTCTCGATTCAGTTTAGAGACAATAATATACCGAGTCTCGTAAGCTACTGGCTGTGCTCGTTGGAGATTGAAACATAGTGCTGTCTTTGGTAATTATTATGCTCTATCCCAAATTGACACAGAAAATTAGGATATTTATCATTGTCAGTACCAGAAAAGTGAAGTATGGAAATAACGTTTTCAATGTCTCTCGACACGCCCTCTATACACTTATATTTAAGACAAAGTTATTATTTTGATATTAACTTATCTTCAAGTGACATGGATCACTGGGCATATAGACAGTGTGTAACACTATCACCGTAACCACAAATAATAAATCTAAGCCGGAGATTAATGAAATGAAAATCGGTGAACTTGAAAGACTATTTATTTCATGCATTCATATAAAAGCCAAGGAATTTGAAGGGTGTGTCTAATAATGATATGTTGAGAGGATTTATATGTATTTATCACGTGGTTTCTTTTTAAAGGACATCGAATACATCGAAAATCAATACTCAAACCATAACAACATAACCAATCGAATAAAACTAAATAGAAGGGTCGACTTTTCAAGCAGCTCGTAAATCAAACGACATTCTGGTACTCACTTCTTATTTCTTTGGCTCTCGCAAACATCAAATTCAACATTGCCGCCTTATTTTCTCTCTAAATAGACACAAATTTCTGCGTCACATTTTGGGCAACTCTGCTTGCCTTTGTAGTCACCAATTCGAAGACATTATCTACTCCACTGTCCGATACAATCAGATGTACGAAAAATTATTCTCTACCTTTTACAACTTATTGATCTATCAGTTAATGCTCTTTTATTTGGAACACCATGTCAAAAATTATCGATCATTATTTTCGAGCAAGTGCATAATTTCATTAATTTTTTTAGATTTTCAGCCTGGTTTTCCACCAATATCACCAGCACTGACTTGTAGACACCTTTCTGCAAATATGTTTAGTTTTATTCCAAAAACAAAATTATCATAATTTTCATTAATAACTAAGATATATATATTTGCTTATTTATTATGTAATTTATTTTTTTCGGAAGAAATGTTGAACTTTTCAGAAAGACAGACAACAATTTAGTACTCTTTATTTATTTTCTGGTGGACGTGACAATAATCGGTAGTTTGAGTCAAAAGATGTTTTGATATGCCTGAATGGGGGCATCTAGCAAGGAATAATTTGCGGATGAAAATGTAATATTTTGAACACAAAAACGAAGGAATCTGATAAATATGAAGTTCTGCCCCAATAAGCATATCTGTATGAAGATAAATTAAGACTTGTAATAATATAATAAACACAATTAAAAAGTATCACGTTTCATGTAAATTCCGAATGCTTTGCGATGCGTTTTTACAGGTTTTCGAAGTATTGTTCTATTATGGTTTATGATTACATCAAGAAGGATTATTCCCGGAAATATTTTTGATTTTGTTAAGTTTTCATAACAAAACATGTTTTACTTTGTTAAAACATTTCATAATTCCTTAAAATACACAAGATTTGACAAGTCGACCTTCAGAGACTCTTTCAACTTGTCTCTCACACTGTCAAGCTATTACAAACTCGTCTTACACCTTGACTGCAATAGCCACCTTTCTCGTGTTTCAGAAATTTGTAAATGCAGCGATTTGTTTGGATTATATGCCAGCGAATACGCGATGAGCTTCTTTGAGGACGATTCTTCTCAAAATCAGTGAACAATGGCAGTGAAACTCTCTAAATTACGAAAATCGTCCGAGACTTCAGTAATTCCGTGGTCACACATACGTACGTCAAGTGTACAGCTACATTGAAAAAACACTTTGAAGAAAATTTATAGGGTACTTAAGTGCTTCGTACTTTAAACCATGACTTAAAGATGGCTACCCAGGCAGCTAAAGTGAAATAAAAAAATTCAAGATAGATTTTTCAGAGATAAAGGGCATGCAAAACACACACCCCGCCCCCTCCCTCCTCCCCTTACCAGAATGACCTTGCATCATATATCTTCTTTCAGTGGAGACCTGGAAAAGGAGTCCATGTCACTGACTAGTTGTGTTTGGTATCTACTGAAAGGTGTTTGTGTGAAGAATATGAAATCAATATTTGTTATGCACCTAGTTATCTAAAACAAAGCAATAACACGGACTGACGTACTTAATGTACCTATGGAAACGTACGAATGTGTGACCACCCCTGACGAATAATCGCTTACTCCACCAACGCCACTGGAAATGAAAGAAGTATTGACCCCGAATAAAGTAGTTTATTAACTCATAACGATATTATATCAACTCATAAACATCAAATATATCACAGCAGTTAACAGGAGAACTGAAATATAAGACAGAAATTTAAGATAATATCACGATTACATGATACGTTAAATTTGTTTTGTTCTTAGAATGGGTGTTAAACAAGAATAGACAGGGTCCAAGTTCCTGTTTTTCATTTGTCTATTCCTATTGTATTGATAACAAACTATCTAACAAATTCAACCGATGCCTGGTTGAGTTCTTTCCATGGTTGACAGTAATTGCTGTTTTTTTTTTTTTTTTTTTTTTTGTTCTTGTATTTTTTTTCTCTCCGTTTATCATTCGTGACAATTTGCACATTGTGATTGCCTCCAATGAAAAGAAGAAAAAATAAGGAAGAAACAGACAGTATTAGCATGGATAACAACCTGGGTTTTACCAGCTGGTTCTGGGCCAAACCTCCCAGATTATCCTAACCTATTTGTCGGACTTTGTTGGAACGTTTGATATCAACTTACGACGAGGTTTGCCAACTCGACATCCCCATCATACAGTACTTGTAACTAAAATCGGTTTTTGTATATTTAATATTATCTAACGGGTACACTGTGTACTTATAATTCACGTGAAAGGGATTGTGAGGTTTTCTAAAAATGTTATGTGTATCGGGGACATTGATAGCATCCATTTGCGAAGGCCTTATGTGATATATAAAGTATATTTTGTGATTAGTGACGTCATCAAACACTTAGTTTTAGTGGAATAGCAGGAACCACAGACGTTTGATTAAAAATTGGATACACAATATTTTTTAGAAAAACTCTTTACAATCTCCTTAAAATGGAATTCTCGTGTCAAATTACTTACACTTGACTTACCAAAACCTTATATAATATTTCTTTAGCACTAATATCAAAAGTAAATATCTATATTTATTATAATCATTGAAGTCAAGGAAGAGTAATTCTATTATCAACTTATTTTTACCACTGTAAGATATTTCATCTCACTGAAATTATGACCGAAAACTAGGTCAAACTTATTTATATTTTAAAGGGTTATAATTATCTTTGTTCCTGAGTTTTCAGCAATTCCAGTTGTATGTATCACTTTCTAAAAATGAAAACCGAGTGTGGTTCGTCTGTAATTTCAGAAAATTGTAAAATATCATTCTTTTTTACATATGACGGAGTCTCAAAAAAGACGGGTGAACGTGGATTGAGGTGTGCTGTGAACGCCATTACTGGTTAGATTAGCTCTAAAAAAAATCAATTTCTGAGACTAAGGTACGATTTGTCGAGTGGTGAAACTGGCCCTTTAAGTGATTATTAACTAATGATTACCTGGAGAAGCTATACTGTTTACTGCAGTTGATCTGGTCCTTTTCCCTTCCACAGGTCGGGGGTAGTTTAAAGATGAAACTACAAGTCAATTGAATAATGAAATGACAAAAGATGAAAATGTGCAAGAATATCTTTAGCAACAATCAAAATGAAGTGGTGTGTTACGTCCTAATTGAGCTAATGAAGACGAACAACGACATATAGTGTGTACTCAGTGAGTACATCTCTGCCTGTGCTTGGATAGAACAGGGAACCTTCACGTTATCGATCAAATGTCCAACTAGCTGAGCAACTTTAGCTGTCATTTCTAATTATAGGTAGATAGAGAAAAAAACAAATAACTATAATAATAATCTGAAGAAAGTACCTGCTAATGTATCATCTTCACAGAACACAGCAGCATTGCTCGTACAATAATC